GTCCCGGGACACCGCACAGAGCCCGGGGCGCTCCCCTGTCCCGGGACACCGCACAGAGCCCGGGGTGGCTGCACAGTCCCGGGACACCGCACAGAGCCCGGGGTGCTCCCCTGTCCCGGGACACCGCACAGAGCCCGGGGTGCTCCCCTGTCCCGGGACACCGCACAGAGCCCGGGGTGCTCCCCTGTCCCGGGACACCGCACAGAGCCCGGGGTGCTCCCCTGTCCCGGGACACCGCACAGAGCCCGGGGTGGCTGCACAGTCCCTGTGGTCCCTGTCCTTCCCCCTCAGCACCACAGGGCCGGCTCTCCTGCCGGACACGCTCGGAGAATTCCACACCACCCCCTGCATTTTAAGCCAGCTGTGACAAAGTTTGAGGGGCCTGCTGATTATTACTGCTAATCCTCCAAATTCCTAACATTTCAGCTCACAGAATTCACAGCACTATGAGGCCCAGAAGAGGTTTACGTTTCCTTCCCACGGTTTGGCAGCTGCCTGTGCCCTTGCTCCTGGTAACTGACGCTCCTGGCTTTAAGAGGAAATGCAACACCTGAGCTGCTCCTGCCCTTCCAGGGCTTCTGGGTTGACAAGATAAGGTGGCAGTCGGCTTCCCCAGAAGCCAAACAGGTTGTTGATTGGAGGATGTGGCTGGTTATCAGCTGTGTTTATTGAGGACTTGACTCAGAGGCTGCCTGAGGGGGTGCTCGGTGTGCTAGAAAAAGAATAAAGAGGAAAAGTTGATGAGGTGGGAAATTCAGCCTCTACCTCACCTGTGCACTGGCTCAGCTTCATGGACCTGCTACAGGTGGCATTTTGAAGGGGTCTGCAAGAGAGATGCAGACTTTGGGTAAGGGATGGAGAGATGGGACAAGGGGAAATGCCAGAGGGCAGGGCTGGATGGGATCTGGGGCAGGAATTGTTCCCTGGCAGGGTGGGCAGGGGCTGGGATGGAATTGCCAGAGCAGCTGGGGCTGCCCCTGGATCCCTGGCAGTGCCCAAGGCCAGGCTGGACATTGGGAGCTCCTGGGACAGTGGGAGGTGTCCCTGCCGTGGCAGGGCTGGGAATGGGTGGGATTTAAAAGGTCCTTCCCAAGTCAGACAGTTCTGTGGTTCTGTGGCCAGTCTGGGCCCCAGTCCCTCTCCTGCCCGGGGGATCAGCAGCTCCAGCTGGCAGCTGGCAGTTTCTTGCTGTCAGAGAACACTGAGAAACTGCCCCGCTGGCCTGGCACGCACAGAACCCTGGGTTCTCCTGCCTGGCACAGCACAGGACATCACCAGCCTGCTCTTCTTCATCACCTTGAAGCTCTTGCATTCAGTGGGAGGTGAGGAGAGCTGGGCTTTGCTGGGAACGTGTCCCTGCTCAGCTGCAGTGACATCCAGAGAGCCACGGCCAGCAGAGACACGGGGCTGGCACAGCGCTGAGGTGCTGGGTGTGCCGTGCAGAAACCGGCACAGGACCCTCTCCACACCAAGAGCTGCAGCCCTGGATGGTGGCACAGTTCCCCTGGGGAGGGTCAGGTGTGACCAACTCCCACCCCCCGGGAAAGGTGTGACACAGGTCCCAGCACAAGCAGCGTGGCATCGCTGTGTGATCACAGAGTGCTCGGGGTTGGCAGGGACCCCAAAGCTCGCCTCATTCCGATCCCCCTGCCTGGGTAGGAACAACTTCCCACGTCCCTGTCGCGATGGGCGGGGCAGAATTGAAAGGATACAAGTAAGAACCTCACAAAGTGTTTTGATAATTTATTAACCAGGAATGGCTATCAAGGCTGTGGGAGGGGAGCATCCGCAGCCCCTCTAGTCAATGTACCTCACCGTCACCAGAGGGCTGGCGAAGCGGACGTGGCGGCTGCGGCGGCGCTGGACGTGTCGTGTCCACCAGCCCACCACCATGTCCCTCAGGGAGGAGCAGAGCTCCAGGAAGCCACATCCTGCCTCCCTGCCGCTCTCCCCGGCCTGGGGCAGCGGCTGCTGGGGCCTGGGCAGCGACAGGGATGGCCTGGCCCGGCCAGGGGTGACGGTCCTGCCCAGCTCCAGCTCCAGCTCCAGCTCCAGCTCCAGCTCCAGCGAGCAGCTGCTGCTCCTCGGTGCCATGGGGCCAGAGCTCTGCGCTTCTGCTGGGGGCATGAACCAGCCCACGGCTGCGCCGCTGCTGCCCCGCTCCAGCTCCAGCGAGCAGCGGCTGCCTCGTCTCTTGGCCTTGGCTTTGTCCCCTTGGGCCGCGCTGCCCAGGGCCGCCCGAGGCCACCCCTCTGCAGGGGCCCGCAGGGACTCTCTGCCCCCCAGCAGCCCCAGCTCCACGGGCACCTCAGGCTGGGCCGCCCTGCAGCCCCTCGGCATCCTGCGCCGCTCCTGGCGCCGCTCCGGGGGGAGGCCCGGGCACGTTCCCGTGAACCTTGGGTGAAGCTCTTGGGGCACCCCATGGAACCATCCCTGGAGCTCCAGGTCACCAGCACAGGCCGGAGAAGAGGCTCCCCAGAGACCTGCAGGGCCCCAGTGATGGAAATCCAGCCCCACCCTGGTGGGAGGCTGAGGCTGCTGTCTGCCAAGAGACACTGCCAGATTGCTGTGCCCGGCACTGTCTGCTCCTGGGGCACCCCTTTTACAGCCTGGCAGTCTGGCAGAGTCCCCTGGGTGACATCACGGGGCAGCCAGAACCCTCTTTGTGACAGCACGGGGCACTCAGAAATCCCTCTATGACACCCAGGAGCCCAAGAGAGAGCCCTCGCTGCCTTGGGAGCAGGACTCTGAGAAACAAACTTGTGAGATAATAGAAAAAAATTACAATAAAAGTACAATAAAAAAAGAAATCCAAACAAGAAAAAGGTAGAAGCGATGTGATGGGGGAGGCTGTGCTGGGCACAGCGACCATCTGAGCAGGAGCTCTGGATTCTCAGGGAAGCAAGGAGGGAGGCAGCAGAAATGGAGAGGGTCTGCCTTTGGAAGAAGGGGCAGCAAAGCAGGAGGTGACAAGGATGTCCTGGGGTCCTGCAGGGGGAAAACGAGAAGGGCCAAAGCCCCACTGGAACTTAATGTGGCTGCTGCTGTGAAGGACAGTAACACTTATTTCACAAATAAAACCTTAGCTTTGCTTTGCTTGGGCTTTTCTTTTTTTTCTCTTTTTCTTTTTTTTTTTTTTGTTTTTTTCATTGCTGAGAGGAAACATTGAGACAGAGGATGAGCAAAAGTCTGAGCTACGAAGGGATGAGGCCTGGCGAGCGTGGCTCTGGGAGAGTCAGGTCCTGCCTGAGGTGCCGCTGCCCCTTTGTCCTCTTGGGCCCGAGCTCGCCCTGGGCCGCCCCTCTCCAGCCCGAGGGGACTCTCTGCCCCCCAGCAGCCCCGGCTCCACGGGCACGGAGCTCTGGGCCGCCCCGCAGCCCCTCGGCATCCTCGGCCGCTGGGCTAGCTGTGCCTCCAGCTCCTCGCGCTGCTCCTCAAAGAGCGCCCGGGAGTCCCGGCAGCTCCGGATGAACCTTGGGAAACGGCTCCTGGAGCTGATGGAACTGCCTGGGGAGCTGCCATGGGGCTGCAGCTCCATGTCTGCTGACCTCCGTGCCCTGTCCACATCGCTCTGCCCCTGCAGCCGGCCTCTCGCTGCACTTGGGTGCTTTGAGTTCTGACGGATCCTCTGCAAGAAGCACGGATGGTTGAGACAAGAGCAGCTCCCCAGAACGCTCTGCTTTGTCCTGTCACGCATGCCACACCAACACACCCCAAAGCCACCCTTGCCCAGCCCAGCCCACACAGCAGATCAAAGGCCACCTACCCACAGACGCTTGTCCCGTAGCGTGACAGTGACCAGGATGAGCTGCAGCACCACCATCGTCATTGCCAGCAGCTCTCCCACGGTGAAGACGCTGAGGATGCCCATGGCACTGTCTGTAGCACTCCAGGTCACCAGCACAGGCCGGGGAAGAGGCTCCCCAGAGACATGTGGGGCCCCAGTGAGAGGCCCCAACCCTGCTGGGGTGGCAGAGGCTCTGGTGACACCAGCCTGTGGTGTCACAGCAGAGACCCCTTTGTGACGCTGTGGGGCAGCGAGAGCCCCCTGTGTGACATCACAGGACCTGCAGAGCCCCCTGTGTGACACCACAGGACCTGCAGAGCCCCCCGTGTGACATCTCAGGACCTGCAGAGCCCCCCATGTGACATCACAGGATCTGCAGAGCCCCCCGTGTGACATCTCAGGACCTGCAGAGCCCCCCATGTGACATCACAGGATCTGCAGAGCCCCCNAGCCCAGCCCCTGAGCCCAGCCCTGAGCCCAGCCCTGAGCCCAGCCCCTGAGCCCAGCCCAGCCCCTGAGCCCGGCCCAGCCCACACCGGTGGGGCCACCCGGAGCCCCAGGTGACGGTACCCCAATCCCTGGGTGACACCAGGAGCCCCGGGTGACGGTACCCCAATCCCTGGGTGACACCAGCAGCCCTGTGGATCTGCCTGGCTGCAGGACCATTTCTTGCCTCACAGGGACCTCTGGAGTCCCTCTCCCAGTGTCTCCCATGCCAGTGGTGCTGTCCTTGTCCCATCTCTGCTGCACAGGCTGCAGCTTCCCAATGGGCTCCGTGCTTCTCTTCCTCATGCCAGCCCTGTGTGTGCCCCAGCCCTGGGGACAGCAGGGACATCCCCCACATCTCACTGTTCCCAGTGCCACCCTCTACTCCTGGGCTCCATCCTTGCTGCTGGGCTCTGCTGGATCCAGGTTCCTGCTGCTGCCCCTGAAGGCTCCCAGGTGCTGGGCTGGGATGTGGCTCACGGTGGGGCAGGGCTGTCTCTGGGGTGTCCATGGCAAGGGGGACAGGGTGGCAGCTGGAAACCAGCCCAAGCTGGAGGGAAACCTGGAGCTCCCCGTGCAAGGCCTGTGTTTGAGGCACAGCAGCACCCTCTGCTCCACAGAATGACAGAATCGCTTGGAGAAAACCTCCCAAGCCATTGAGTCCAACTTTCAACTGAGAAGTTTCCTGTGCAGCTCCTGCCCTGCCAGGCCAGAGGCTCAGTGCTGGCAGCAGGGATGGGCACGGCTCTGCTGCGGGAGGAGCTGCAGCCCACCCTGGAGGGAGCCCAGCTCTGCCCTGGAGAGCTCACAGCATCATCCAGATCCTTCCTGCAGCCTAAGGAAGGGCAATCCACTCCAAATCCCACATTTGGAGATGCATGAGGCAGCAGAGGAGAGACAGCACCAATATTTGTAATTGCCTGGCTCCTGTTGGACATTTCCACAGATGCTGCAGGAGTGATGGTGCCTCGTCAGTGTTGTTGCATTTCCTGGCTGCAGGATCCTTCTGCCACTCCCGCTTCCCTGTTACCCCAGGAGCCGTGTCTTCGGGGAGGGAGGGAGGGAGATGAGTCCCGGGGTAAAGGTGGGGTGGGAAGGGAGGGGTTGGGACTGAGATCGGTGTCACTGGGTGGGGCAGGACACTGCTCAATATTGACTTTTCTGACAATATTTTTTGCACTTGATAGTCTTAAAGGTCATAAAATTACAGAATTTTGGAATCCAGCGTGCTTTTGGTTGGGAGGGACATCAGAGCCCACCCAGTGCCCCCAGCCATGGCAGGGACACCTCCCACTGTCCCAGCTGCTCCCAATGTCCAGCCTGGCCTTGGGCACTGCCAGGGATCCAGGGGCAGCCCCAGCTGCTCTGGCAATTCCATCCCAGCCCCTGCCCACCCTGCCAGGGAACAATTCCTGCCCAATCATGATCCTGTAGATTGTTGATTTGATCAATGATCTTCAGGATAATTACAATCACGATGATAGGTCACTGCCCAAGGGCTGGGGTTGGGTGGCAGAGGGGCCCTGGCAGCTTGAGGGGAAGAGAGCTCTCCCTGTTTAGGGAGGTTTCAGCAGTGGAACGGGACGGTTTTCACCTGCAGACATCCACGATGCCCTGGATCCCAGGAGCGCTCAGGCTGTGCCCATTTCCTGCTCAGGTCTTCTCCAGCCCGGCCCAGAGTCCGTGGGCAAGGAGAGAGGAAAATCACTTGCAATGCAAATGATGGAAAAGCAGGAAATGCCTCACCTGGGAGTGTTAAATGCTGTTAATGGTTAATGCACCGGCAATTTAAACCTCCCCAGGTCCAGGGACTGATGCTTCTTCTGAGGTGTGGGACAGAGAGGACCGATATCATCAGCTTTGGGCTCCCCCGAGCTCTGCTCCACTCGGGGCTGTGCTTCTCTTCCCAGCTCGGGGCTGGCCCTTGGTGAGTCATTTAACGTGAAACGCTGGGGCTTGGGGCACCGATTCTCCTGGAAAAGACTGAAGGGAAGCAAAGCGGTGTGTGAGAGGAATAGATTTCCATATATCTGGGAAGTGGAGGTGGAAAGTCTTGCTGAGCTGCTTTGTAGCCCACACACAGTAACACCAGCTGGTGTTGGAGCCTGGGAATGCTCCCAGGCAGATTTAATCCCCTGCTCTAGACCCACACTGGCTTGATTCACCTGGGTAATGTGGGTGTGCAAGTGGAAGAGGTGACTGGACAAATATTTGCAGTGAGCTGAAGGTCTTTTCTGTACTGAGCCATGTTTTCAGTAGACTTTTGGTTCAGGGAGGCTGAGAGTCTTTAATGGAAGCACTTAGAAATGCAAACATGTCTGGCTTGGGTACCTGCTGCTTGCAATGAAAGTAAATCAGGCTGAGAGCAGGGAAGCTTTATCTTTGCTCTCAGTCCAGCGGGTTTTTCTCTCCCCCAACCCTGGCCTGGAGTTTTTCTAATGTATGATGGAGTTTACACAGGGAATGGGAGCTGGGGGTAAGATGGGGGAAGCACATAAACCCAGCAGTCCTGTGGTGCTCCTTCTCCTCAAAGCCCTGCTCATGGCAAAGCTTTTGTGGAGGACTTGCAGCTTGGCTTGTTTGCATTATTCAAATTTCAGAGCTCCCCTCAGGCTGCTCAGTCATGGGACAGCGCTTCAGCCTGGGGATGGAGCTCCCAGCTCAGGCTGCCCCAGCACTCCAGGAGCTGGCAAAACTGGAACGGTGCTAGGGCTGAGCATCCGTGCAGAACTCTGCATTTGGGGTGTCCCTCTGGGGCATTTCTGCTTTGGGCCATAACTTCTTTGTCCAAGGATCACGCTGTGCATACCACCATGTCTTTGCCCCTTTTAATGAAGGAGTGGAAAAGGAATGAAGCAAAAGGCAGGAAAAGAAAGGGCTCCCTCCCAGCTGGGAGAGCTGGGGTTGTTTAGGCTGGAGAAGAGAAGGCTCCAAGGTGACCTTGGAACCCCTTCCAGTGCCTGAAGAGTTCCAAGTGAGAAATTTGATGTGTGACCACAGCCCTCAGTGCAGTTGGATGTCAGTCACATCCCAGACACTGCCCAACACTGATACCGGGGAAAGGTTTATTCCTATATTTGGGATTTTACAAGGAACTTCGGTCACTGGCCTGAGCAGGGTGAGAAATTGTGTCATCTCACCTCCCTGGAGGAACCTGGAGTCCCACCACAGGTGCAGCTCTGTGTGTGCTCACAGATGGAGCCACTGACTGTGACAGGGCTGAGGGTGACTTTTATGACTATTTCTATGACTTTTACAAGGTTTTTGTGGCAGTGGATAAAGCAGAGCTGGAAAAAGGCCTGACCTGTTTAGCAGTGGCAGTGGGAGGACAGAGATGTTTTCCAAAGACACGCTGTGTGGGAGTGACAGAACAAACAGGGTCCTTTGTACAGAACACAGCGAGGGAACCCCTGAGGGTGGAAGGCAGCTGCCTTGTAACTTGTGTCCTGATTTGCATCGTCTGCCAGGGTGTCACGGGCAAATCCACAGGTGTCATTGATCCCTTCTCTTTCTGGCACAGAGCTGGGTCAGGCTGACCCCGAGCACGGGAACACCATGTATGAGCTCAACGAGAGCAGCTTCGACCCCATCACCTTCGTCCTGACAGGCATCCCGGGCATGGAGGAGTCCCACATCTGGATCTCCGTCCCCTTCTGCCTGATGTACCTCACCGCAGTGCTCAGCAACCTGGTCCTTCTATTTGTCATCACCACGGAGAGGAGCCTCCACGAGCCCATGTACCTCTTCCTCGCCATGCTGGCTCTCTCTGACCTCATGCTGTCCACCACCACCGTGCCCAAAATGCTGGCAATCTTCTGGTTCAGTGCCAGGGAGATTTCCTTCGATGCCTGCATCACGCAGATGTTCTTCACCCATTTCAGCTTCATCGTGGAATCCTCTGTGCTGCTGGCCATGGCCTTTGACCGCTACGTGGCCGTGTGCGACCCGCTGCGCTACGCGTCCATCCTGACCCCCTCGGTCATCGGCAAGATCGCCGTCACCGCCGTGGCCCGCGGCTTCTGCATCATGTTCCCACCCATCTTCCTCCTGAAGCGGCTGCCCTACTGCGGGCACAACGTGATGCCCCACACCTACTGCGAGCACATGGGCATCGCCCGCCTGGCCTGCGCCGACATCAGGGCCAACGTCTGGTACGGGCTGACCACGGCGCTGCTCTCCTCGGGCCTGGACGTCGTGCTCATCGCCGTCTCCTACGTGCTGATCCTCAGGGCAGTGTTTCGCCTCCCATCCCGGGAGGCTCGCCTCAAAACCCTCAGCACCTGCGGCTCCCACCTCTGCGTGATCCTCATGTTCTATGTGCCCGCCTTCTTCTCCTTTCTCACGCATCGCTTCGGCCACCAAATCCCGAGTCACGTCCACATCCTCCTGGCCAACCTCTACGTGGTGGTGCCGCCCATGCTCAACCCCATCGTCTACGGGGTGAGGACCAGGCAGATCCGGGAGCGCGTCCTGCGCCTCCTGTGCCCCCCAGGGGAGCGTCCCTGCCCCGGCTGGGGGGGCGGCTGCTGAGCAGGGGGAAGTGGGACGGGGTCTGGAAAGCAGCACCAAAGGCTGCAGCACTTCTCGGCCTGGAGGAACCGCTTTGCCCAAGGGGTTCAAGGGAAGCTGAAGGTGGTGTGAAACGTGGGTGTGGGTCATCGACATCTTCACTGCTGCTGTCTTCTCCTGGAGCTGCTTCCCCTGAATTTCCTTCACTGGCGGAGACTGGGCAGGTTCAGCTGAGAAGCATCAGTGCCTGCTGACTCACTGTCACTGTTACAGCTGGTTATGTTTGCTGTCCTACAGCTCGATTTCTGCCTGTTCCTGCACCTTCCTAACAGTGTCCTGACCATGAACACCTTGTTGGCTGCCAGACTGAAGCGTGGCACACCAAGCATGGCTGGATGGGCATCACACCGCTCACCACGGCACAGAGGGGCTACGCCCTCCTGTCCTCACTGCTGAGGGACCCTGCCACGTCCTACTGCTGGAGGTGTTTCCCTGCTGAAGCGCTCTGAGAACCTGGGAAAGGCTTCATTGTCCTGTGTAAGAGGGAAATATTTCCCTTAAACCATGACTCCCAAACGGAATCCAAGCCTTTAGAGTGGTGTTTAAGGGGACAGTGGTCCTACAGCCACCACATCCCACAGGGCTGCTTTCTGTCTTGGCCAGCCCAGCTGTGCCTCATCCAGGCAGCATCCAGAGAGATTTGGTTGTGGTGATCAGGGAGCTCTTTCTGGAGGCTCCACAGTCCAGCTCTCGTGGCAATGCCAGGAGTGGGATGGTCTGGCCCCCCGTGAGGCCCCACGAAGGGCCTGGTGTGTTCCTGATGTTACTCATGGGATGGAGCAGATCAGCCATTTCTGCAGAACGTCCTTTTGCCCTGACTGTGAGGGCAGCCAGCACCTGCCAGTCCCACAGCCTGACTGGGCTGCAAAGCTCTTTCAGACCTGCCCGTGGTGGGGAAGCCACTGCTGCACACCTGGCCCTCAGAGGTGTCTCATCTGCAGAGGGTGGTGACCCTGGACATGCTGGGGAACGGCTCTGCCAGGACCTGGACTCGGTGAAATGTTGTGCCCTGCATCAGGGCGGGAGCTGTGGGACCATTCTGGCTGGGGCTGATGGAACCCGATGTTCCTGGTGGAGGGCAGGAGCCATGGACACACCAGGTGTGTTCAGACCTGAACGGCACAGGAGCAGAGATCAACACAGCAACACAACCAGCAAACTGCTCCAGCCATGCCAGTAATGCTGCCACGACTTCAGAAGAAAAGGGGAAGAGACAGAGTCATGATTTCAGATCAAAACCCCCCCCAAAAAGTTTTTCACTTTTGCAGCACGTTTCTTCTTTGTTTTATTTTCCTCTGATCTGATCAAAGGTGGCACCCTGTGACTGGCACAGGGGAAATGAAAGTCTGTTCATTAAAGGCTGTTTGTCTACCAGCAGAGATAACGGAGCTGGGTACAAAAGCTGCTCGTGTCGCTGGCTTTTTTCAATGTCCTCAGAACGTTCGTGTTTGCGTTGGCTTTCTTAGCAAAAAGGAAAAAAACAAAAGAGTGTTTGCAGAGAGCAGCCATGTGATTTTTGATAGGAGAGGAGCTGTGAGAAGGAAAATGTGTCAGGAGAGCATGTTGCTGTGGGCAGCTCTGAGAACAACTGAGCTGCCACCTGGACCTGTCAATAATCAGAACTTGGAGCAACCTGGGACAGGGGAAGGTGTCCACAAGGGCTGGAATGAGATGAGCTTTAAGGTCCCTTCCAGCCCAAACTGTTCTGTGATTCCATGACTCTGGGTGTTCCTTGGGGTTTCCCAGAATGGTCCTGCAGGATGGAGGAGGCAGTTCTGAACTCGCTGCTCTGCTCTGGTGGGTGAGGTGGCCAGCTCAGGAGCAAACTGCCCAGGGAAATGTCCCCAAGTCAATGAATCACCAGCTGCACCATTCCTGGCCAGGGGCCCGTGCCTAATGGGGCATTAGCCAGCCAAGCAGGGAGATTTATATTTCCAGGTGGTTAAAATGTCAGCTTAATAACTCACACAGGGTGGGAAACCACAGCTCCTTCTTTTTTTTTTTTTTTTCCCAAATTTGGAGACACCCATTGTTTTTTTAGTTCAGTTCACGATTTTGTGTGTTTGGATTACAAGGATCTTTGCCTGCCTGTGGCACAGAGTTGGAATGAGATGAGCTTTAAGGTCCCTCCCCACCTCAACCATTCCACAATTCCATTATTCTATAATTTCCACTGGTGTTTTCCCCACGTAGCACATGCAAGAAGTAAACGGAATCTCAAAAATCTTTGGAAAATAACTGGAAGTCACCGAGAAACACTTCTGTGCCTTCAGGGAATGTTTCTGTACCCGAAGGAAGAGCTGAGCCTGCGCCTGGGCTGGAGATGGAGCCTGGGGTTTGTGCCCAGCCGGGCTCCTGGCGTGTGCTCGAGAGGGAAGCGCTCCCCAGCCTGTGATTGCTTTCTGCACGGACAGGGACCAGCTCTGCTTTCACCACGGACAGAGCTCGGAGCGTGCCGGGTCCAAGATCCCCATTTCCACTCAGCTTTATTGCTGCTCACAGAAATGGCTCTTTGTTACCTGTGCTTCATCTGCGCTGGCAGCGACGCTTCAGAGCAGCGGAGCTCCCTGATTTTAGCTCTCCCCTTCCCCTCTTCAGTCTTGCAAAGGGCAGGACAGAGGCTCCTTGGGAAGGGAGGATGGGGAGAGGAGAGAATCCCTCCCAGGGCCAGCGAGCGGCTGGGGCATGGAGCTCACCTGGGAGGGGTGAGGAGCTCAGGGTGTCCCGTCCCTGGAAGTGTTCCAGGTCAGGCTGGATGGAGCTTGGAGCAGCCTCGTCTAGTGGAAGGTGTCCCTGCCCACGGGAGGGAGAACCAGGATGATTCTATGGTTCTGTGAAATGTTAATTTAATAAAATCCCACTTCACAGGCAGATGATAAAGAGCACCACCTCCTTGCCTGAAACGAGATGGTAACTCAGCCTTCGGGGGGAAGTTTTGGGTGACGGGTTTGATCTCGTGGATTAGAGATTCCTGCTGCTCCCAAAGGTCCCTAACAGCTCCCTCAAGGGTCATGGCAGTCAGGAATTGCTGACTGCAATTTCCCTGCCCTCACTGCACAGCCTGCTGAGGGTCTCTGAGCTTTCTAGGAGGTCCAATTCTAGTGGTCCAATAAAACCAGAAATGGGGAAAAAAAATCACCTAAGAGGGTTTTAGCTGTAATCTCTGCTGATCTCCAGCTCAGAGCTCCCAATTTCCTCTCCACTGTGGTTCCCAAGAAGTTAAAACAGCTCTTGGTCCTGAAGCACTTGCGCTGTGTGGCAAGAACAGGGCAGAGCTCGCAGCTGAGGCCAGGTCCTGCCAGCCCGGGCTGGCCCAGGCACAGCCCCGGGAGCCCCTTTGTGGCCCAGGGTCGGGAGATGAAATGTGCAGTGGGTGCCTGGTGCAGGATGATGAGCCAAGGGGTGGTGAGGGCTCACTCAGGCTCCTTCAGGGGCACCAGGAAGGTTCTCAGGGCTTGAACCACCGGCACCCCCGGGCACAGGGGCACAAAGCCCTCCCCACCCTGCAGGGCACCCCTGGGGCAGGTACAAACACCGGCTGGGGCTGTCCCAGCTGTCCCAGGACAGCTCAGGAGGGGAGGGACTGACACAACAAGGCTGGGACCCGGCGCTGTTGTTTCAGCCTGTTGGGGTTAGCTGGGGGTTAGGTGTCCTTTTTTGTTTTGTTTGGTTTTGTTCTGGCCTGCCCGTGGAATTGTTACCCATTAGCTGCGGAGACAACCTAAGTGTGGGGATTTAGTGGGTGACTGATAAAGGACAAAGAGTGGCCGGGCCAGGGGGGGAAGGGGGCAGGAAAGGAGGGTGGGACAGTTTTTGGCTGGCTTTCTTCAGCTTCGGGGAGAAACATTCCTTTTGGGCGCGGAGCTGCTGCGGTGGAGAGAAGGGAATTTCGCCATCACCCAGACGGAGCTGCTGCTGCTTCTCCTTCTTCTTCTTCTTCCTTCTTCATTGGTGGCCTCGCACCCCCGTCCTGCCGGGACGTGTGGCAGTGCCAGGCAGTGCCAGGAGCTGCTGATCCACCTCATCCACTGCCCCAGGATCTCAGCTCATCCCTGCTGATCCACCTCATCCACCGGCCCAGGATCTCAGCTCATCCCTGCTGTTCCACCTCAGCCACCAGCCCAGGATCTCAGCTCATCCCTACTGATCCACCTCATCCACCAGCCCAGGATCTCAGCTCATCCCTACTGATCCACCTCAGCCACCAGCCCAGGATCTCAGCTCATCCCTGCTGTTCCAGCTGAGTGTTCCTCAGAGCCCTGCAGGAGCACCGGCACTGCCCGAGGGGTTTGTGAAGCAAAGCCTCTCCTCCATCCCTTCCCATCTCAGCCCAGAAAGCTGTCACGGGGTCCCTGGCTCTGTTTTCCTGCTAATGCTGTGGTTATTGTTGTTTGTTTGCCTGGTTATAAATACCAGTAAAGAACTGTTATTCCTATCCCCAGATCTCTGCCTTAGGGCCCCTTGATTTCAAATTTATAATAATTCGGAGGGTGGGGGTCTGCATTCTTTCATCCCCAGGGAGGCTCCTGCTGTCCCCAGCAGACACACCTGTCTCCCAGAACCGAGACAGAGCCTTTTCAGGCTTTTAACTTGGGCTCCTTGCATATCCAGAGTGAATCTACTGGAGCGTGTCCAGGGCAGGGAACGGAGCTGGGAAGGGGCTGGAGCCCCAGGAGGGGCTGAGGGAGCTGGGAAAGGGGCTGAGCCTGGAGCAAAGGAGGCTCAGGGGGCCCTTGTGGCTCTGCACAAGTCCCTGGCAGGAGGGGACAGCCGGGGGGGTCGGGCTGTGCTGCCAGGGAACAGGGACAGGAGGAGAGCTCAGGCCTCAGGCTGGGCCAGGGGAGGCTCAGGGTGGACATTGGGGAAATCCCTTCCCAGGCAGGGCTGTGCAGCCCTGGCAGAGCTGCCCAGGGAGGTGGTGGAGTGCCCGTCCCTGGAGGGATTTCACAGCTGTGTGTGGATGTGACACTTGGGGACACGGGTTAGTGGTGGCCTTGTCAGTGCTGGGGAATGGTTGGACTCAATCTTGTCCATCCTAAGTGATTCTGTGAGTTTGGGGCAGAGCTGCAGCCCAGCTGTCAGCCAGGTGTGGCACAGGGGCAGGGGTGGCACGTACCTGACTGAGCCAGGCGGTCCCTGGCGTTGTGGCACTGCAGCTGCTCTATCCTGTTGCACAGGGACGTCACTTTGGTGTGTAACCGCTCCAGCTCGTAGGTGGACACATCCAGCTGGAAGCAAACAGGAGTCAGCTCCATGGCAGCACAGCCAGAGCCAAACTCACCCAGCAGGTGACACCACACCAAAACCTGCCTGAATTAACCCCAGAGCAGGGAAGGGGGAAGCCCGGACAGGAACGTGGGGGAACAGACACGGAGAGTGCTGGGCTTGTCCCGCCCCTTCCACTTGTCACTGTCACCCTCAGAGCACATCTGCAGGGCACAGCCCGCCCCTCGCTGTGACACAGACAGCAAAGTCTGGCTCTAGAGACGGCCCATGCTGTGTCAGAAGCAGCAGCTGCCCCTCAGCAGTCACTAACAGCTTCAGTGCAGGCTCCGTGTGAGCCCCAGGGACGGCGGCTGCCCGAACCTGCTGAATCCTGTCCAGCATCTCGTTCACACGGATGTAGTCCAGGTACACCAGCCCTGCCAGCTCCCAGTCCTGGATGAGCGCGCTGCGCTCCGGGGGCGCCAGGTCTTCCAGGAATCCCTTCAGGTACTTGTAGTTCTCGTTGATAATTGCATCTGCAGAGAAGAGCCCTCAGCGAGAGGCCATCCCGTCTCCCACACAGCAGGGAACGGGAAGGCCACTGCTGCCCTTGTTCCCCGAGGCCCCTGTGCTCCAGGAAGGTGGAAGCACCGCCCTGCTTCCCTGTCTGCCCAGGAAAAGCTACCCAGGGGAGCTGGTTTGGACCTGCCAGGCCCTCTGTGCCACCTCTGCTGCTCCAAACCCAGCCTGACCCCTTCAGGGGCCACCCCACGGCATGGAACCACGGAGTCACTCACGGGATTGGGTTGGGACCTTAAATATCATCCAGTCCCACCCCCTTCCACTTGTCCCCAATCCCTCTCCAGCTCTCCTGGAGCCCCTCCAGGCCCTGCAAGGGGCTCTGAGCTCTCCCTGGAGCTTCTCCTCCCCAGCTGAGCACCCCCAGCTCTCCCAGCCTGGCTCCAGAGGGCTCCAGCCCTGGGATCCCGCTCCTGCTCCTGCCATGCCTTTGTGAGCTGAGACCCACCTGAGGCCAAGTGCCTGACAACCAGCTTGTGGCACTGGTTCCAGTGCCCAGCCTTGAACAGGAAAAGGGCCTCTTTGTGCCTGTCACCCTCCATCCTGGCCCGGACCGCCTTGGCCTCGTGAATCCAGCGCGGGGGCACGCAGAGCCGCTGTGTCAGGAAGGATTCCTTGGCCCAGGACTCGGGGGTGTCGGCGAGGGCGCAGTGCCGGCTCAGCAGCTCCCGCACGGCCTTCTCCCGCGTGCTGGGGACAGGGGA